TTTTAACAAATGCAATGTTGCTAAATTCAGTACCTGATAAGACTCAACCAAACAACCACGGCAGGGTGAGTGTTGTGGTCTTTGCTCTCCGGTGACAAAGCAGGACCTCCCTCCAAAATCCAGCAGAGCCTGTATCCAGTGCGCGCAGCACCCCAAAAATGCAGCCGTGTTCAGAAACAACCCAGAATCATTCTAGAAGCTATGCCAGGAAACCCAAAAGGGTCTCTTTTGTGTCCTTCTGTTTTTGGGTTTGATAGCTTCCAGATTCCAGACCGGTGAGGCAGAAGGTACGGAGCCTTTTTAATCTGTGCATAAAGAAGATGTGCTAGAGCCGTTAGTGCCGTGTCCCTGAAAGTTGGGTGAAGTCCGTCCACGGCGGGCACTGGTGCTCTCGGTCACGGCCAGTCCAGCGTACAGGTCTGGAGGACCAGAACCAGCAGACAGGGGTGGCTTCTGAGCTCTGTCTTGTCTGCACACAGGAGTTTGGCAGAAAAGGAAAAAAAATGCGCCTGCAATGGAGCCCACAGTAATTCTGGTGTAGCTCTCTTCTGGCTACCGAGTTATTAGCTCACGTTTGCGAAGCAGGCTCCTTGGTAGGTAGAACACAACCAAAGGAAATGTCAGCTTTCTCTACCCAGAAACATCAGGAGTTCCCACTTCTCCTGCCACTTCTTATCTCAATTCTTTCCAAAATTTTGTGAAGACATAAGATAAAATATAACAGCTCAGAAGGCAAAGACAGTGCGGCAGAAGCTCAGCGAGAGCCCAGCCTCGGCTGAGTTAGGCTCATTCACAGAACTTTGAGCAGCCAGCCAGGCTGGGGTGGGGTGTCTCTGGCTGTGTTACCTGCCCCCAGCAGCACTCGGCTGCCACCCGACTCCTGCTCAAGGCACCCCCTCTAATGGGATGAAATGATTTTTAATTTCTAAACACCTCTGAACATAAAGCTAACGTGACTTGGAATATGGGGCATTACCTGCTGGAATGAGTCGTGAAGTTGGACAAGCAGAATGGCAGGAAAATGTTTTGTGAGTTCAAACAGCTTTTTGACTTGTGTGTGCGCGCAGGCACGTTAAAGACGGGGTAGAAAACGTGGCGTTTCTTTCCATAAGACTCCAGTCTGCATCAAGCCCACCCTGCCTTGGCAGTGCACCCAAGTCGGCAGCAGGTGTGGGGTGGGGGTGGGGCCAAGGGAGTCCCAAGTTCTCTGACATCAGTTCAGGGCCACGTGTGTGTACCTGTGTTGATTTCCTCTGCTGTCTTGTTAGGTTAGCTCCACCTGCACCCCCAGTTTTTTTGGGTGGTGGTGGTAGTGATCTTTAGGCGAAACGAAGGCTTCAGGCATCTTGCGTTGGGGGCCAGGGTGGGTGGTGCTACAGGGACCCCCCCACCCCGACCGCCCCAGCAGGGTGCTGGACCCTGGGTTCCAGGGGAAGGCATGCGGCTGCGTTGTTGGCCACCCCCTGCCCCGCCTGGGCCAGCGCGCCCTGCCCCGCCCGCCTGCCCGCTGCCGGGGCACCTGGGAGTGGAAACCTGAGCCCGGGGCCAGCGGCCTGGGGCCCGGCGGGGTCGAGCGGGAGGTCAAGGTCGGTGGGAAGGCGCTGCAGATCGGCTCGGAGCGCGAGACAGGGAGCGCAGCGAGACTAAAGGGGGAGCTGTGAGACCAGACATTAACAGCTCGCAGCGTTAATGATGCCCGTGCCAGACGGGCAGAGGGAGAAGGAGACGCGAGCGGCAGCTGGGCTCGCTCGCTGCTGCGCTCGGCCGCCTCTCGGGAGAGGAGGAGGAGGAAGAGGAGCCGCGGCGGGGGCCAGCGTAGGGCCGGGCAGGGCCAGTTGCTGCCTCTCCCTGACTGCGGCGCGTCCGGCCCTGCGCCTGCCGGTCCGCGCGTCCCTCTTCCCGCCGTCGGGGCAGCGCGGGGCTAATGAGGAAGTGACCCTCCGGTCAGTCAGGGGCCCGCGCCCCCTGCCCGCCATCTCCTGCTGGGCGGCGGTGCCCCCTGCCCGAGACGGGCCACGTTGATTAAGTGCGAGTTGGCAACGGCAGCTGGGACCGCCGCCCCCCCCCCCCCAGCCCCGGGCTTGGGCGCGCTGCCCGCGGAGGGGCACCTTGCCGGGCGTGGGGGTGCGGCCCGGTCCCGCTCGCAGGAGCCCCTGTCCCGAGCCCCCTCCCCTTGTAATGGACCCTTAGAGAGCGAGGGTCACGTGTCAGGATTTCGCGCCCCGGGCCGCCTGCCCGCGGCGCGGGGAGCCCAGTCCGTTCCCTCACGCTGTGTGTCCTCGGGCAATGTTCTCGCCCTCTCTGGGCACTACATCGCGGGTTCCCAGAAACACAGGTCCTACAAGCCTTGCTCGACAAATCGGGAAGGCCAGTGTATGAATTTCTTCAGAATTTTATGAAAGGTGGGTCCGGGCATTTTCTCATACTGAGGCCGCTTTTCCTGGATTCTCTGGGTGGGTGAGAGGGCCGGAGAGGGAGGCGCGTCTAGACTTTGGAGCACGTGGAGGTGGGCAGCAGCCCGCAGCCGCCCCCGCGGGGGAAGCAGGTGCGAGCCCGTCCACACCCGTAGCCTCCACCCGGTCAGCCGCAAGGCTTGCGCCCCAGGGCTGTGGAACCGCCTGCGCGGGCGCATCTGATGAAGAGTTCCGGACAGGCGGGAGGGGAAAGGGGTGCCCTCTGTTCCCCTCTTGGGCGCTGTGCGGTGTCAGGTTGCGGGTGTCGCGCCTCATCTAAGACCTTGAGAGCTGACAAAAACGCCGGCCGCCGCGAGAGAGGCGGCGCGCCCGGAGGCGTCACGGCCTGGCCACTGGCTCGGGAGAAGCCGGCGGAGCGGGGCTGGGCGCGGGGTGGGTGCGGGCAGCTGAACCCGCTCGTCCTGCCCAGGCCAGCCTAGCCAGAGCCAGGCCCCGACGAGTCCTGGCCGCAGCCAGCCAAAGTCCCCGGGAAGGCAAGAGGGGTCCAGCCGCGTGCGGGGCGCGCCCAGCCCTGGAGGCCGGGTCATCAAACAAAGTTGGCCGTCGCCCGGGGAAGGGCGGGGTGTCCGAGAGGACTGCGGGCTGGCCTTGTCTCCGGGCCACGGACAGGCCCCCACAACTCCGCCTGGCCGCGCCGGCTGGAGATCAAACGGCTGACGAGGCAGCTGTGGCCTTCCCAAGTCTGACAGGCAATTTCACGTCCTCTGGGGCCGCCGGGCGGGGAGTGGGGAGCGACTTCCAGGTTGCAGGGGCCTCAGGGCGTCCCCCCTCAGCTCCCCGCCGCAGCCGCCAGAGGAGCGGCGATCTGGCCACACCTACGCCTGGGCGGGCAAGCCCAGGTCCCTATCCCACGTGGAGCGCCCCTGCCTCCTCGGCCCCAGCTGCGCGCAGACCTCGGCGTTAGGGGAGGTGCCGCCTTTGACCTCTGGGAGTGCACGGAGGAAGGGTCAAGAAGGGGGAAGGGGGGAAGATCTCTTCCTCAAAGTGAGGTCGCAGGGACCCCCTTGATTTACTTGCTGTCCAGTTGTCCACTTGGTCTTCCTGCTGTGCCAGTCCGAGGAACTCCAAGCAGGAGGAGGCACTCTGGGAAACTTAACTCCAGGCCTGCTCTCCCCTCACCCGGGACCCCCAAAGAAAGAAAAGTAAAAGTAAAGCAATCTAGCTACTTTTCTGGGATGGGGGCCTTGAGTAGACGACCACCCGTCTTCCTGGAGACCCCAGCCGTTCCCATATTGGCCCCCAGTACCCCCCCCCCCGCCATTCCCCAAGGAGTGTTTGGGTGGGTGGGATCAACCTTCATTCACGTTACTGTGCGCCTCACCCCGCCCCCCTTCTCAGGGGGTCCTGCTCCCGGGAGAGGAGGAGGGGCGCGGGGTTTCCTTACAAAAGAAACGCATCCTGCCCCTCCTCCCCCCCCCCCGCCCCCCCAGTCCACGCCGCCGGTGCTGGGGAGAGGAGCGCACGCCAGAGCGGGCTGCACGTGTGGCCGGCCGGGCCGGGGGTGCGCACGGCGGGCGCGCGCGTGTCTGCTTTCTTGTTCTCTTGCAGGGTACAATGTTAAAAAGCCACCGCTAGTCGCCCCCAGTGCTCCGACTCTCTGGGTCTTTTTGTCTCTAGTGCAGATTAAACGTCACGTCCGCACTTGAACTTGAATTTTATCCCATTGTACAGAGGCAGCCCCAGCCATAGAGAGACCGAGAGCTCCCGGAGAACCCGGACTCCGCCATCTTCACGTTTGCAGTCTATAGCTCCCAGTCCGCGCCCGCATCGACCCAGGCGCACTGGGCGAGCCGCCCTCGGCCCCGCTCCCCCTGGGCCCGCGGCGCCGGGGGAGCGCTGGGCAGCGCTCGCAGGGACTGGGCAGCCCCTCCGGCCGGCGCCCGCCTGCCAGGTGGAACTGGGAGGAGCCGCTCTCGGAGTCCCCCAGAGCCTCGGAAGGGTCAGTCTCCGAGCAAAAAAAGCAGGCGGCCCCGCAGAAAGCCCAGTAACAGCCGGACCGGGCCGGTCCCACATTGCATTGGGTTTTTTGAGGGGGCGGGGTGAGAGGGCTGCGAGACAAGTCCCCAAGTTTTCTTTGCTTTTTTTTTCTTTGCCTTTCCCCCCCCCTTCTTTTATTTATTTTTTTTATTTGTTTGCACCCCCCCTCCCCTCTCCTGGTAGAAGTGCGCTTTCCACCTACCAGGTCCCGAAAGAGTGTCAGCAGCCGGTGCGAAAACCCGGCTTAAGTTCAAGAAGACACTGGAAGTCCACGGAGCCAAGCAGTTTGAAGGAGTGTAAGAGATTTTTTTTTTCCTTCAAAAGAACATATTTTTAAAAGAAACCAGCCAGTACGCGGTCAGCAGCAGCAGTGGCAGCGGCTTTTTTGTTTTTTTCCTTTTCTCAGTTTCTAAATTGGAAGATTTTTTGGTGTTTTTCTTCTGCTCTTTTTCTTTTTGCAAACAAAACAAAAAACAGCAAAGAAAGAAGAGCAAAATAAAGAAGAAGAAGAGGAGGAGGAAGAGAGGGCAGGAGAGGAAGGGGAAAAAAACAGCAACCCGGGCAGAGGAGGAGGCGCGGCGGCAGCGGCGGCGGCGGCGGCGGCTCGGACCCCTCCCCCGGCCCCCATCGGTGCAGCTCTCCGGGCGATGCCAGAATAGATGCCGGGGCAATGTCCCGCCGCAAACAGGGCAACCCGCAGCACTTGTCCCAGAGGGAGCTCATCACGCGTAAGTGTTTGCGGCGTGCGCGCCAGGGGCCGGAGGATGGGGCTCCGGGCGCCTGGGGCTGGGGACACTGAGCCGGGCCAGGCCGTGCCGTGCCGGGCCGCGTGCGGGGGCCGCTGCGGGCTTGGCTGGGGCGGCCTGGAGCGTGGTAGGGGCCGGGGGGCCATAGGAAAGTTTCTTTGCAGCCAGACGCGCCTCCGGCCGGAGGGGCCTGCAGACCCGGCTGCGGGCCGGGGAGGGGGCGCGCGGGCTGGAGGAGGGGTGTGTGTGTGTGTGTGTGTGTGTGCGTGCGCGCGCGCCGAGCCCGGCCGGACGCTCGCTCCTCCGCGCGGCGTGTGTGGCGGCAGCGGCGCTGGTGGCGGGGATTGGAGAGGAGGAGGAGGGGGCTGGGGGAGCCGAGGGGGAGGGGGGAGCCGGGAAGTGGGGAAAAGTTGGCGAGCGCGTGGGTCCGCGCTGACGGCGCGGGCGGAGGAGTGCGGGGTGCGCCGCGGGCCCGGGGATCCGCAGGCGTGGGGTGGCCGCAGGCTCCGGGTTCCCGGTTGCGGCGCTCGGCCTGGAGGGCGCTGGCCCCGCCGGTCGGAGGACTCGGCAGCCGCCTTTCTGTCCCTGGTTCTTGCTATTTGCACAAGAATCCAGCTGCGCGGCAGCTAAGCGCGCTCTCGCGCCCCCTCCTCATCTCCGCCGGTCTCCTGGGATGATCTTGCCTTCTTCCCCACCCCCCCATGTTCCTACTCCGAGAAGAAGGTGGGGGGAACGGGGTTGAAAAAAATGCGCGCTGCAAGGTGTGTGTTGGGGGAAAAAAAGGGTTGTCAGGAGTGGGAAGAGACGGATGCGCTCTTAAAAAAAAAAAAAAGGACCCCCCCCCCTACGCTTCAGCCGGCAGGCTTCTTTGCATCTTCGAGTCGCCGTATCTCTCCTCTTCCCCGGCCGAACGAGCGAGGCAGGGCGCGGCGGGCATCCCTGGGCTCAGGCCGGGTGGATTTCCTGAGAGGCGAAGCGCGCAAAGTCCGGCAGCCGGGCAGCACGCGGCCGCTTCTCCCTGCCAAGTTGGGTCTGTTTAGGAATGGGGAGAGCTAGCGCCGGCCACCCAGGTGCGGGGTTAGCAGGGGAGCCCGCCAGCCCCCGCTGGGCAGCCCCGGGAAGATCGGCTGGCTGCTGCTTCGCCCTGCTGATCCTCCGGGAGCCTTTCTCCGCCGTCCTCTCGCGCGCGGGGCGCCTGAGTCGCCGTGGCTATTTTTTTTTTTTTTTAAATTGCAATAGAAATAAAATATCCTCTGGGTGCCATCCAGGTGGTGTTCCTGCAAAAGCTCCGGGCTCCGCTCTGGGCTGGGGCCGGGCTACCCGCGACAAGCTGGAGACTGCTGCGCGCAGCCCCGGCCGAGGACTGGCTGCCTGGCGGTCGAGGGCCGAATATTTATGTTATATTTTAAAAAATTTAAATAAATAAATAAATATATAATGGGGTTCTCCCCTCCTCCGAAATCCAAGCATTGGGAGCCATCTGTTTGGAGCAATTGCTGTGGCCGTGGTCGCTCCTTTGTTGCACCAGACACATTAGTAAGAATTTGTGAATTTATTATTCCTTATGTTTTGGGGAAGAGGAAGACATAGGAAAATGGGTTTGCTTCCTAGAAGGATGCTGTTTCTCAAGGAGGGGAGAGGGCTTCGCTTTCCTTTTCTTTCCTTTCTTTCTTTTCTTTTTTTTTTTTTAATTGTAACATCACAGACTTGCTGGTTGCATTTGAGAGGAAATTTTTTTGCATCCTGATTTGAGGCTTCTTGGATTCAGAAGGTCCCCAGCTGACAGTCTGATGCCTCGGCCGGCCTGGTACTTACTCCAAACTCCCTCCCCTCTGGCAAGGGGTGGCTGCTAAGAAGACTGTGTGTGTAGATACTGATTTCTGCAGGAGACAGTTTTGCCCCCGGAGCCTCTGTCTATTACAGAGGTGGTTTTTGAGGAGGGGGAAGCGTGGGGGAGCCGGGGAAGGGGAGCCGCCGGCTGCGGCAGAGCAGGGTGCCCTCGTGCAGCACAGGGACAGGCAGGTAGGTTCGCCTCGGTTTGCTTTCCAGTTTCCTGGCACTGCTGGGCCAGCCGGAGGGAGCCCTGGGCAGAAGGCACCCGTGGCAGCTGGGACTGGGGGCGAGGGGTGCCTGGTGTTGCATAGCCCACCTGTATTGGTTCTGTTTCTCTCAGACTCCTTAATCAGGGGAAAGCCATGTCAGGGAGGGAAAAGCAAGGCGTAGAGAAGAGCGGGCATAGGGGGACACACAGGCCAGAGCGCTGGCTTGGGGCAGGGCTGAGGCAGGGAGCTGGGCCCAGGCAGTTTTCAGATGAGGCCATTTGTGAACCAAAGCAAGCAGGTAGGAGACAAAGCAGCCACAAGTCTACAGGGCCGTCCTACGTGTGAAGGAGGCAGAGTGGTGGAGTTAGCATGTCCTGGAGCCCTGGCGGCCCCCAGTCAGGCATCTCTCAGGAGATCTGTGATGGAGCCCACTCAGAGCCCTGGGTGGCTGGCAGCTGGGTGGCGGCGGGCCTTGGGGCTGTCGCTTCAGCTTCTCAGGGATGATGCAACCCAGAGCCAGGCCCGGCACTCAAGGGCAGCCAACAGCACTGGCGACTTTGCCCCTGGAGGATGGGGGCTCCGGGGAGGGCCGCGGTGTTCCTGGGAGGTGCAGGTGGGGGAGAAGGGCTCCCCGAAGGGCTGACCGTATCTGCAGCGACAGTGATGGTGGGGTGACGAAGCGGCAGCAGAGGGAGTGTGGGGACAGCTGCAGACGAAGCTGTGGGGTCTGGTTTGTTTCAGAACGCTTGACCCAGATGGAGATAGCTTTGAAAGTCAGGACAGACACAGCTATTAAAAACAAACAACATGGCACAGGGACAACAGGGGAGTGGGGAGGCAAGGGGCTGGTGGCTGACCAGGCATAGGGTGAAGGCCATGGTCTGCCAGGCAGCCAGGCAGCCAGGCAGCCAGGCAGCCAGGCCTGGGGTGTGGGGAGGGGAGTAAGGCAGAGTGCAAGTCCAGGGTGGAGGGGTGGGTAGCCCGAGGCTTCTGGGAGCAGCTGCACACAGGTGGTGTCCGTGGTCACTCCCTAACCCCCAGCAGAGCAGCCGTCCTTCCGAAGTGAGGGCTGCGTGGTATGAATCCACGACGGTGCAAAACAGCCAGGGGCTCCAGCTCCGGCGCAGAAGTTAGGCGAGTTGTGTGCCTCACGGCTGTCTTGCTCTAGCTGTACCTTCCGAAGGCGGCCGTGCCTGCCTTGATCCCGGCTCGCTCTGGGGAGCGGGGAGCATGGAGCGTGGACAGTGCGTCTCTGAGCGTCCACTGGGCCTTCCACACTGGGCCGGATCAGCTTCCCGAGGTGCTGGGCCCTTTAGTTCCTGTTGGCGGTGGCTGCTGGGGAGGCAGGCTTTGAGTGTGCCATGCGGCACAGAAGGGAACCCCATATCATTAGAAGTGTGATGCAAGCCAGCTGCTCCAATTCCACGGGAGAATACAAATGTGTGCATCCAAGGTGTTAGGCCAGGCGGGTTTTATTCATTTGTAATTCACACCTGAGAGAAAACAGCCATGAGCATAATTTAACAAGCCCTAATATTTTTAAAGGGTACTTCCCCTCCCCCCCAGTACATTATGCCCAGAGGCATCTCTCTTGTTTGGCAGGGGGTGGGGAGGCTGCTGGCTGCCTGAGCCTCGTGGGTCTCCAGTGGTTTCTGTCTGGCCCTCCACATATTTTTGTGTCAGAAGAACCAGTCTTGGAGCGAATGCAGCGGTGTGCAGCATATGCCGTGACCACACAGAGGGAGGTGGGCTTAGATGGTGGGGTACGGTGCTGTGCCACCCTCTGAGCGGGGCTCCCTCCACCGAAGGGAAGGTGCACTGGGCAGTGATTAGGACTCTGTGCCAGGTGAGCCCGGTGGGAGTACGGAAGGAAGCCAGCAGGCCTGGCGATTTGCAGGTTCTGAGGGTGCCCTGCTCCAGCTCCTAGCACCTTATCGGACTCAGCTCCGGGCGCTTTCTCAGCCTGAAGCACGGCTCGCGCCCGCCGCCACTTATCCCCCTTTCATCTCCTATCTTGCTTGCTTTGCCTTCTATGTTGCTTGTGATAAAATACTTTCCAAAATAAACTTTGAGTCGGGTGTCTGGGAGCCTGGGCCGGCGCTCGGCGGCTAGGGGGCGCTCGGTGCCCGTGTCTTGAGGATGGCCGGGCCGGGCTTGCAGCAGCAGCCGCAGCTTGCCTAGGAACGCCTGGGCTGCCAAGTTGCAATGCCGATTTTCCTGCCGAGGTTCGTGCCGGGCGAAACGGGAAGCAACTCTGAGAGATCTCTTTTTCTTCTGTAAGCTTCCCTCGGTAGATGAGACCTTTTCTTTCATCGCCTTTTTTTTTTTTTAAATCACTAAAATTGTTTTCCTGGGTCAGTCTGTGGTCCCCTGACGTGGGGGCTCACTGGGAGAAGGGGTGCACGCTTTGTGTATAAGGCAGCGATGCTGTGTGTGTGCTGTCTTCCCTGACTTGTCCCTGGCTTGTCCTAGACCTGAAAGCAGCTTTGGGGAATTGTGTTAGCTCCAAATGGACAACCTTGGAATCTCAATTCCATTGATTAGGTGTCCTGCCTGTGGTCCTGTTCCCTAAAGACAGAAAACGCCAGAGCAAAGAACCCATGGAGTTGGTTTGGAAGGGGTGCCAGCTTGCCACAGCCAACGCTGATCCGTGCCTTTCACCCCACACGGCGGCGGCTGTCCTCCTGGCTTCGGAGGAGGTTGTTTCTCCCTGTGCGTGGGGTAACTCAGTGTCTAGGGACCTTGGATGGCTGGATCCCTTGTAGCTTCTCTCCCTAGGGTTCGCATCGCAGCCGCCCCGAGCCTTCCCATCTGAGCTCAGGAGCCCTAGCCCGCGATAGAAAAGCTGTTTTTTCTAACCTGAAAGAGAAATAAATTCAGTCAGACAAAAGCCGAACGCCGTCACCAGCCGGGGAAAGAGCCTTTGCTCTCTGTCCTGAG